GGCGGGCGGGTGCGCGCGGGCGGACGCACGTTTCGGCGGGCGGGCGGGCGCGCGAGCAGGCGCGCGCTCGCGGGCGGGCGGGCGGGTGGCCGCGCGGGCAAGCCGGCGTCATTGTCGTCGTCAACGTCCGTGTCGTCGTCCTCGTCGTCGTCGTCGTCATCGTCGTCGTCATTGTCGTCGTCATTGGCGTCGTCGTCGATGTCGTCGTCATCGTGGTCGTTGTCGTCGTCGCCGTTGTCGCCATCGTTTTCCGTCGTCGCTGTCGCCGCCGTCGTCGTCGTGGTCAACGTCCGTGTCGTCGTCGTTGTCGTCGTCGTCGTCCTTGTCCCGGCCCCGTTGCGTTGCCACGTGTCGAAAAGCACGGGGTATGTCTGTGTCGCCCCCCCCCCCAGGCGTTGCCACGTGGCGACAAGAGTGAGATTGTCTATGTTCGGCCCGCGCGGTAATGCCAAGTGATGAGTATATTAGGCTTATATGTGTTGTTTCGTTTCCCATGCTGTTGCCACGTGGCGAGTGCAGTGGGATAGTTTTGTGCTTGCCCTTGAGGCATTGCCACGAGGCGTTGCGATGTGGCGAGTGGAGTGGAATATCATGTATTCCCGCCCCGCCTCGGTGCCGTGTGCCGGGTAGAGTGGAGTATTTGGTTGTGGCCTCGCAGACACCAGCACGTGGCGAGCACAGTGGAGCAGTAGTTGTTTCGCTCTCCGGCGTTGCCACGTGGCGAGTAGAGTGAAAAACTATGTGTTCTGCCCCGCATGCGCTTCCAAGTGGCGAGTGGTGGAGTGGAGTAGTTTATGTTTCGCCCCCCAGTCGTTGCCACGTAGCGAATACAGTGGAATAGTGTCAAGTTCCGCCCTGCAGGCGTTGCCGCGTGCAGGGTAGAGGGACTAGGGAGGAGGAGGGAGGAGCGAGGAGGGGGGGGGAGGGAGGAGGCTGGAGGGAGCAGGAGAGCAGGAGGAGGAGGAGGAGAGAGGAGAGAGGGAGGATGCAGGAGCGAGGAGGCAGGAGGAAGGCGGGAGGAGAAGGGAGAGGAAGCACGAGGCAGGAGGAAGAGGGAGGAGGGATAAGGGAGTAGGGAGGAGAGCAGGGAAGGAGGCGTGGGATGACAAGCGAGGAGGTGGGGGATGGGGGGGGAGGAGGGGGAGGTGGGAGGATCGGAAGGAGGACGAGGAGGAGCGAGGAGGAGCGAGGAGGAGAGGTGGAGGAGAGGTGGAGGACGAACGAGGAGGGGGGGGAGGGGGGCGGAAGGAAAAAGAGGAACGCAGTGCAATGCAATGCAACGCATTGCGCGACCGCGCGTAAGGGAACTCATTGAAACCAGGTTTCAGGGTGTACATCCGAAAGGGCCTTATGGGGGAGGGGAATGAGGACGAGGAGCAGGAGGAGAAGGAGGATGTCGGTTCTCAGGGCTCCCCGTGCTGAGGAAATCGTCGGCACAGAGGTGGAGGGGGGAGGATGCGGAAGGGGAGGAGGAAGGACATCGTTGGCTCAGTATAGGAGGGGGAGGGCCATGGGGAAGGAGGGAAGGAGTGTTCCTACCGCGCGCCTTGTCGCCCGGGCGTGGCTTGGTGGCCGCCTCGGGGTGGCGAGTGCGGAAGGAGAGTGACGGAGGGGGGGCGGGCGTTGGTGTTGCTGCTGGTGTTGTTGGTGCTGTTGCTAGTTGTGTTGCTGCTGGTGCGTGTGCTGGTGATGCTGCTGCTAGTGCTGATGCTGCTGGTGCTGCTGCTCGCGATGCTTGCGATGTTGCTGCTGGCGCTGCTACTGGTGCTGCATGGGCTGCTGCTTGGGCCGCTAGTGCTGTTGCTGTTGATGCTTGTGCTGTTGGTGGTGTTGCTGCTAGTGGTGATGCTCCTGCTGCTGCTGCTGGTGCTGCTGCTGGTGGCGGTGCTGCTGTTGCTGTTGCTGCTGGCCCTGCGAGCGCCCTGTCCGCACAGCGCCGCCGTCGCCGTCGTCACCGTCGTCGTTGTCGTCGTCGTCTTCGCATCGGGGGAGCTTCCAGCAGGGAAAGTTCAAGGGGGGGTAGCTTGCAGGGGTCGAGCAAAGCAGGGGAGGGGGGGTGTCTTCCCGATTGGGTGCTGGCGGGTGGGGAGCTTCCAGAGCTCGAAAAGAAGGGGGGAAGTCCGACAGGGGAGGTGAGGGGGGGGGTGTACTTACGCAAGTGGCTGGCAGATAGCGCGGGGGACGGGGGGGCGCCCCAGGCGCGGTGGGGAGGAGAATCGACAACTGCCTTGAGGGGCTTTCAGACAGGGAGCAGTGGAGAGGGCAGGAGGGCGGGAAGAGGGAGGCATGGAGCGGAGACTAGGGGCGCGGCGCAGGTCAGAGAGAGGCAGGAGTGTTTGGTCGCCGATGTTATTGAACGGGGAGTTGCCGATGTTGAGCAGCTCCTGCCAGCCCGGACCCGGGATCTCGGAGCGGTCCCGAAACGGTGCGGTGACGCACCGTGCGGTGAGGTCGTCGGGTCTTTCGAGGCCACCGCATCTGGTCCCTCCCTCGTCATCGCACGTGCCTCGGGCAATGATTTTCGAACCCCCCTCTGGGACGCCCCCCCTCTGAGACGCCCGCGATCTTGACCTGACCACGGCCTGGCCAGAGCCAGGCCTCTTGTCCGAGCTGTCCGAGGAGGTGGCGTGCTCGTCCTCGTGTGCCAGCTCGTCCTCCTCGGCGGTGGCGGCTTTTGTGCACGCGGGCCGGGGATCTCGAGGCTTCATCAGCAGTTGCGGTTGCAGTAGTCGCCGTGGTGGTCGTAGCAGTTGTCGCCGCCTGGAATTTTCGGTGTCAGTGCACGTGTGCCTGGGGGGAGAGTTGCTTTCGCGCGGATCCAAGCGGCGTTCCATTGTCTCTGCTTCTTGGTCACGCCATTGCGCTGGCTCTTCTCGATGTCGGCCCTTGCTGCATTGCTGAAGGTCTCCTTCCGGCAGTAGTGCTGTCCCCCATTGCTGCCTCGGGCATAGGTATCATCAGGCAGCAGCGCTTGGGCCGCTGTCGGCGGGCTGCCATTCATTCTAGCCTGGGCCTGCGCATGGATTCCTGGGTCGATAGTCTGCAGCCTGAGGACGTCCACGTCGACATTACCCGAGTAGAGAGAGCTCCACATCCACCAGGCCCACCCCCACAATTTTGAGTATGGTATCTCCAGGGCGTGCACACTGTATTCTTGCATTCAGCGACGGGCATGCTGGCGCGCTGTCCGCATCACTTGTGGGCTGAGGTCGGCGTTCCATTTGGGCTGCGCGTGCGTCTGCTTTAGCTCTGGAGCAGCTGCTTCCCGCCGCCTCGTTCTTGCACGGGCGGACCAGGTCGGTTCAGGATGTTTTCCAGGCGGCGGTTGGTGGGTGCGGGCCTGCAGCGTGGCTTGAGCCAAGATGGTCACACATTCCCCCTCGTCCTCGCCACCCCTGGCGGGCCTCCCATCGAGGTAGCTCGCTTTTGACTTTGCTCCCGAACAGCAGGCTCGAAGAATTCTCGTCCCTGGGCGTCCCTCTCTCCTCCCTCCGTTTCTTTCTCTTCGCTCTCCGTCTCCTCGCCCTCGCTCTCCTCGCTCTCCTTGCTCTCTTTCTTCCTTGCCATCCTTCTCTTCACCCACCCCCCTCATCGCCTCCTCCCTCTCTTGCGGACGCACACACGGGGCGGCTCCGATGGCAGAGGCCCGCGGAAGGCTTGCGGAAGCAAACATGTGATTTGCCACATCCCACCCTCGCCCTTCCGACAAGAATTGTCGGTTGTCCTATTGTCCTATTCCTATGCCCCCCCCACCTGTCTACCCCACGCTATGTTCCTGGCTCATGCTCCTCACTTGCTTTTTTTTTATTTCGTAGTTCCCATAATACTGCGGCCCCGTATCTGCCTGCCCCTTCCAGTTGTCCAGATTTGCCTCCCGTTGCAGGACTTCATGGTGCCAATGCACATCTCAATTATCACTGCTTTCTCGTTTGCAGGCCAATGGTCTCCTAAGTATGTGACATCTCCTCTGCATCTGTCCCACGTGCCTCCATGATAAATACGTTCCTGTCTATGTGTTTATGTATTTTATTGTCCACCACTCGTGGACGGGCCGTCAATCTTCCCTAGAATCAAAACGTGTGCTTCGAATGTTGTTTCCAACGCGTGTGGCTTCTAACGTAAGCTGGTTCCTCAGGGCGGGGTTCTTAAGGCCTGCTGAAGGGTGTGTTCGCTCCCACTCCAGACTGGAGTGTGCCCTTCTCTTTTGTCTTGCGACTTGTGAAACCAGTGCAGCAAATCCTCTACCTTCAGAGTGCACCCAGACGGCCCAGGGACGTCGGAGATCAAGAGATATAGTGCCGGGGCGATTTGCGACAGCACATGTGCAATTTTCACGGAGGCATTGAGCATCGTTTTTTTTCTTGATGTGCATTTTCATGTTTGAGAGTACCAGTGCAACCCTCTAGCCGACAAGGGTATCAGAGATCCAGAACTGGAGATGTGTTTGTCGACCTCCGATCTTCGAGGGCAACCTTCGAACCTGTAAGTGTTTGTTTGTGTAGGCGGAGCTATAGTGGCATGTTAATGAGTTGGCCAGCGACATTCCAAGTGCCAGCTTCGCGGGCGCGCAGCATTTTCAATTCAGACAGTTGTGCAATCTAAGTTCTTTAAGTTGTCAGAGCAAGGTCTACAAAGCTATTTTTGCCAACGAAAGGTTCGTGTCGTGTCGGCCCGGCGGCGACCCCGCCGCGGGCGTTCAAGGTGAGCGCTGCTGGTGGCCCAGAATCGTCCAACATGGAACCATCTGGGGGTCGGGGAGCCCCGTTCTTTCAAGTTTGAGCGATCCACGCGGTGCTAGGAACAGACGTTGGGGTGGACACCGCTTAGGTCTAGGTCGGCGAGCCTATTCTAGCCGAGGCTCGTTGTGATCAGAAAAAATGATACCCTTAGTTCCTTATCCCGCGTTCCCGAATGTAGCACGATGCCTGTACGCCCTGTCGCGACCGTTCTCACCGGTAGTGCCGTGGCGGTGGCCACTTCGCGCTCCCTTATTCGCCGAGGCCGCCTCTCGCCGCGCCGTGCACTCGGCGCCGTCTCCGACGCCACGACCGCTGCCGTCGGCAGCCTAGCGTCCTCGGCCAACTTGGAGGCCCCGTATGGAAAGAGCACCCTCCCCTTCTCCTCCCTCCTCCTCTCCCGTACGTGGCCGCTTTGGCTCAAGATGCGTGCTTCCACAGGGGAACTCGTGGATACCACTAGTCCGCGGCAGGCAAGGCTGTTCAGCCTGGCAATTCTTGCATCGCTCCTCCTCCCAGTGCCAGCGCCATGTTCCCTGCAGCAGCCGTGCGTGAGTGGGATGATGCCTAGTCCGACGGGGGGAGCTCGGCCGTTGCCGCTCCGACCGCTCTCGTGCTTCGGACCGCAGGCGAGCCAAGAAGCGGGAGGCGGAGAGGCGACGGGCTGCTGGCGGGCACGACCACGGCGGACGCGGCCACATGCAGCCCCGCGACTCCCGCCGCCACCAGCACACCACCACGGAGCTCCGCCAGCGCATGGAGGATGCTACTGTTGAGATGCGTTCGGCGGGAGTGGACCTCGACCAGATCGCGACCTTGCCAAGGAGCTGGGCGCGGCGGCACCTGGCGGCCTTGTTGGCGGCCGCGCGGGCCCCAGCGGCGGCTCGACGTCAGCGGACCCCTGGAAGGCCTACCTGGACGCTGCTGGTGGGACGCTGGGCCATCCGCCTGCGCACGCGGCCCGCCCGCGCACCTGGCGTCCCCTGGCCCGGCCTCTGGCAGTGGCGCACAGAGGACAGGGCCCGCGGGTGGCGCCGTTGGTGGAGGCGGGGCCCTTGGTGCCGACCCGTTCCACGCGGAGCTGCTGGGCATCGAGTCGAGGCTGCAGGAGACCTCCAGTCCACGTCGAGCTCGCACACCACGGGTATTGCAGACTTCCGAGTTGCGGTGGAGGACCGCATGGGCTCTGTCGAGGCGAATGTGGCACGGTCCACGACGACGTGGCGAAGCTGCGCCGTGAGATGGAGGACGTGCGTCGGGAGTTGGGAGCGGCACAGTTGACGGAGCTTGCGCCGATCCCGCTTGGGCACGCCTGGTCACGGACGCTTGACCCGTGTGGCTTTGTCCTCTCAGCAAGGGCTGCGTTGGCGAAGGATGCCATCGAGAACATGTTGCGCCCTTTGCTGGCCGGCGCCCAGGTGGCGGCCAACAGCGAGACGGTGGCGCTGGAGGGCGAGGTGTTGACCCAGCGGCACGTCCTGCGCATCAAGGGCGAGACGGGGCTCGCCACGAGGCGGGCGCACAAGGTCCTGGCAGCCATGCGCACGGGCCCTGGGGAATGGAGGCGCCTCGCATGCCGCACCCCTGGAGGCGAGCCCGTCGAGGTCTTTCTGGGCCCCGACAAGACAAGTCCCAGATCGCGCGCGAGCTGGCCCGTAAGTTGCTCAAGATGACGTTTCTCCCGCACCTCGGCAACGACTGCGTGCCCCTGGACATGTCCGAGGCGGCCCTTGGCCGATGCTGCCCACGCTGCCTTTCTCCCCGACGATGACGGATGGTGCCTTTGACCAGGCTCTGGGGTGGCCAGCAAGGGGTCTTCCTTGCCTCCACGTGGAACACCCGCGCCTGCATGCGCCACGACCCGAGCACGGCGGCCAGGAGTCAGCGGTGGCGGGGAAGGGAGTGGTGTGCTTGCAGGAGACGCGCGGCTCGGTCGCCAGGCCCCCCGACCAGCTCAGGCTGGTCGGATACCGCAGTTGTTTCTCTTCTTCGTTCGGCCGGAACGAGCCTGGAGGGGTGGCCGCTGCGTTACGTGCACGAGTGACGGCATCATCAATTATGAACGCAGGGAGATGGTCAAGGGGAGCGTGCTGCGAGTGAGGGCGACGCTCATCCATCACTCGAGTGACCTCATCGCGTGGAACATCCACAACGTTGCTTTGCAGGCCTCGCAGCAGCAGCAGCACGTCGTTGAGAGGCTCCAGAGAGCGGGTCTTGGTCGCCACTCGCATCCTGCGCGAAGCGGCGAAGCAGGTCCAGGCGGAGGAGCTGCGGGCCATGGCCTGGGCGCGAAGCTCGACGGCGCTGACGCGGCGGCAGATGGCCCGCGCATGCTGGCGCATGGACTGGCGATTTTCGGGTGTCCTCTGCCGGCGCCATCCCTGGCCCCGGGAGTTCTGCGCGGTGGACATCGCGCAGCGCGCGGTGCACATGGCGCGACCTGGGGAGTTCCAGCGCGGGCGAGCGCTTGCCCGGCGCCGCCGAGCGGCCCGGCGCGGCCGCGAGCAGGGCGGGCGGGCAGCCAGCGAGCTCCATCGTCTACGCGGACAGCAGCTGGCGCTGAGGCGACGCGCGGCGACGCCTTTCGCTGCGCGGCGGAGCCTCGGCGGCGTCAAGTTGGAACGCGGCGCCATCTCCTCTTCGCCGATGGGCAGGGCGGCTGCTCTTGCCCCCCATTGGGACCAGGTCTTTGACCTCGAGCCCCAGTCGGCCAGGCGCCTGCAGTGGCGCATCCAGGCCCGCTCGCTCGAGCTCTTCGAATGGGCGCGCTTTGCCCCCCCTGCCGTGCGGGGCATCCTCGAGGCGATCGCTGCGGCTCGCGCCTCGGCCCGCGGGGCCAACGGGCCCCCCGCGCGGGCCCAGGGCGCCCGCCCCCCCTTGGCGGGCGCGCTGGCGGCGGCCATGCACCAGCAGATGTCGCAGGCGATGCCCCCCCCCAATCCCCGAGCTTCGCCCGAAAAGTTTGGCCGCTCAAATGGGAAAACTTTGGGATGTACCTCGAGGGGGCCATTCGGACGCACCACGATCGAGGATGGACACCCCCCCATCGTATGCCCCAGCGTTGGGCCCCAAATTTGCAGTCCATTCGAAACCCCACGCAGCCTGGGATAGGGGTCGACATATCCCCCGTTAAGGTGGGCGGCCTCCAGCTGGGCATCGCCTTCGACGACTCCGCCCTGATCTGCCCGCCGAAGTGGGGCGAGCAGGGCGACCTCCCGGGGCGGCCCGTCGCCGGGCGGGCGGAGGGTGCAAGGCCCCTTTCCTTGCAGAGCTCGGAGGCGAAGATCATGTCCTGGGCACTGAACTCCAAGCTGGCTCGGGCCTGCTGTGCTCAGCGCGGCTCCCTCGCGGGCCGCAACTTCTGCGAGGGCCTGGTCGAGGGGGTCGCCTGCGCGAGGTCGGCGGGGGCGACGGCGCAGGCCTCTTCGCGGCGACGCCCCCCCCGGCGGACCCCCTGGCGGCCAGGGGCGGGGCCGGCCCGAGAAAATCAAGTGCGATGTAGTTTTGGAAACACCTCCGCGCGCAGATTGCCGGGAGCAGGCGCAGACGCCCCTGGACATTGCGGCCCCCCTGAAGGACCCGGGCGCGGCGACAGGGCCGGGCGCGGAGGCGTTCGCCCCCTCGTAGTCGCAGCGCTTAGCCCACAGGTCCTTGGATTTTCGACCTTGTCGGACGGGCGGGCCCCCCTGCGGGCGCGGACGCGGGGGGCCCGCTGACGGGCGCGGGCGCGGCAGGCCCCCGGTGGGCTTTGGCGCGCAGGCCCCGCTGGCAGGACCGCGCATGACACGCGCAGCAGCGGCCCCTGCGACGATGGTCGGCCGCCCGCACCCAGCGCGGCGGAGTGGCTGAAGGCGGGCCTCATCGAAGTGGAGGAAACGGGCGTGCCGAGGCCGACGCTCTGCAGTCATGATTATTCCAGGGCCCTCCCGTCGCTTTTTCAGCGCTGGCTGCGGTGGGCGCTGGCGGACTGGGGGCCGGGGCGCCCCGAAACCGCTGCTCTCCGGCCACTGGATGCAGCGCCGCGAGGCTCGCGCGCTGGATGCTGGGCCCCTTCCGATCTGAGCCTCCGCTGGGGTGCGCTTCTGGGGGTCCTGCCTCGGGCACCATGTTCGCGGCTGGCGAGCGCCCTTTCTGCGTGGACCTGGCCGTGCACCTGGGCGCGCGGCGCCGTGGCGTGGGCCGCTGGTGCGCGGGCGACCTCCTCGCGGTCGCGCCGCAGCGGGCGGGCCTCCGCTTGGTGGCGAGGATCATGCGGGCCTCCGCGGAGCTGGCCAACCTGGCGCTGAAGGGGGAGAAGTGCGTCTGCGCGCCGCCCTGGGCGCCCTCCTCGGCGGCGGCGGAGGCGGAAGCCCGCCTGGAGCCGGAAGCCGCTTCCGCGTCGCGCCGACGGCGAAGGCGCCGGGCCTCCTCGCGGGCCCCGGCGCATCGGCGGCGGAGCAATGGGCGACCGCGCCGGCGAAGTTGGAGCGGTGGACGGGCCAGGTCGCGCTGGCCCCGCATGACGCCCAGACGGCCGCTCAGGTCTACCACGAGCGGGCGTTGAGTGTGACCTCGCGCCTGGCTCAGATGCTGGAGCCGCCGCCGCGCCTGCCGAAGGCCGAACACCATGTGCTGGGGTGGCTCCTGAGGGCCCCTAGATACTGGCTCGGGCGGACGGACTTCGCCGCGCTGGGCCAGGTGGGGCCGCCGTACTTCCTGTTCTTGCAGAACCTCTGCGCCGCGGCCCGCGCGCGGACGGCACTGGAGTCACTCTCCACTTGGAGGGCCATGGAGGCAGGGGCCCAGGAGGCGGCAGCGAGGTGCCTGTCCCTGCACGCCCTGGGCGAGCGTCGCCACTGGCGCGGGTTCTGGCAGACGCGGCCGCCGGCGGTGGCCCTCGCGGAGGCGGCAGAGATTCTGACGCAGATCGCCAGCATGGGAGAGGCGTTGGTGGAGGCCGAGCGAAGGCCGACGTGCTGAGGGGCGGAAGCCCTGCCTCCAAGCAGCGCTCGCGCGGACCTGTGCGACGGCGGGGCGCAAGGCCGCGCTCGCAGCACGCGTCCGTCAGCGCCTCCAGGCTTGTTTCGGGTTCCCTGCTCACCTCCTCGCCTTCGGACGTTTCTCGCCCCTCTCCCCCCTGCATGGCGCTCGGCCTTGTTTAATGCTTGGACGGGCGGGTGATGTCCTTTGAGTTGCCAGGGGGCACCCGATTTCCTGACTAAGTGTACGAATCCTGCTGTCGAATGCAAGTTTTCCTGGTTCGGGTCTCGGGGGGGGGCGTTCCCTCAGATCTGCTCGTTCGACTTGCCTTCGTCGGTCACTGCCCTGGCGCGGCTCGAAT